TCGAGGTCGAGGTTATGAAGCAATTCAATACAGGGTTCTTAGCAGTGATGTCAAATCCATAATGGGTTGCTAATGTTGTTCTGGTACAAAAGAAAGATGGCAAGGTACGTATGTATGCAGATTACAAGGATCTAAACAAGGCGAGCCCCAAAGATGACTTCCCGCTGCCATATATTGATGTCTTGGTCGACATCACCACTCAGGACAAGGTATTATCTTTCATGGATGGTTTCTCGGGTTATAATCAGATCAAGATGGTGCCTAAAGACATGGAGAAAACTACCTTTGTCACACAGTGGGGCACTTTCTGTTACAAGGTCATTCCTTTTTGGTTGAAGAACACAAGGGCAACTTATCAGCATGACATGGTAGCCTTATTTCATGATATGATTCATCATGAGATAGAAGTCTACATCGACGACATGATAGCAAGGTCACAAGCTGAAGAAGAACATCTTGATCATCTACATAAGTTATTTGAAAGGTTGAAGAAGTACAAACTAAGGCTAAATCTGAACAAATGCACGTTTGGTGTAAGGTCTGGAAAACTCCTAGGCTTCATCGTTAGTGGTAAAGGTATTGAAGTTGATCCCGCAAAAGTTAAAGCTATTCAAGAAATGTTGGCTCCCCGTACTGAGAAGGAGGTCAGAGGTTTCTTAGGATGACTAAACTACATTTCCCATTTCATTTCTCATTTGACTGCTACTTATGAGCCAATCTTCAAGCTGCTGAAGAAAGATCAAGTAGTAAAGTGGACCAATGACTGTCAAGTAGCTTTTGATAAAATCAAGGAGTACTTACAAGAACCTCTGTTTCTAATGCCACCGGTTGAAGGAAGGCCTCTAATCATGTACCTAACAGTGCTAGAGAATTCATTGGGGATGTGTAATGGGGCAGCATGATGAGTTTGGTCGAAAAGAGCATGCAATATACTACCTTAGCAAAAAAAATTCCGACTGTGAAATAAGATATTCACTTCTCAAGAAAACTTGTTGCGCTTTGGCATGGGCTGCTCGCCGACTAAGGCAGTATATGTTGACCCATACCACTTTATTTATCTCTAAAATGGATCCCATCAAGTACATATTCGAGAAGCCAACTCTCTCTGGAAGAATAGCCCGATGGAAAATGGCTTAACAGAATAGGACAATGAGTACACCATTCAAAAAGAAATCAAAGAAAGTGTACTGGAAGATCATTTGGCACATCAAGCTGTAGAGGACTACCAATCTATGAATTTCGAATTACCGGATGAGAATATCATGCTATTTACAGATTGTAAAGAACCTGGGACGTATGAAAGACCTAAGCTAGGATCCCGATGAACTATGGTTTTCGATGGAGCTTCTGATGCACTTGGAAATGGAATTGGTGTTGTAATTATCTCTCCTCAAGGTTTTCATACACCCTTCACTACCAGACTTTGCTTTGACCGCACCAATGATATGGATGAATATGAAGCGTGCATCATGGGTATTAAAGCTGCTATTGACCTGAGAATTTAATTCCTGAGCGTATATGGGGATTCAACCTTGGTAATCATCCAGGTCAAGGGAGAATGGGATACAAAGCATCTGAATCTTATCCCTTACCGAGAACATGTGCTAACCTTGATTTCGTACTTCGAAGAGATTACACTACAAGAAAAATGATAGATTGGGACGGTTATTTTGGCTGATTACGACGGTTAAAACCGTCGCAATTTACAATCTACGACGGTAGAAGTACCGTCGCAGAATCGTGCGTCCCCAGCCTATTTCGCGACGGTTGCAAAAACTGTCACGCACAACAGATGGCGACGGTTATATACCGTCGTGAATTTGACTTTATTTTTTGTTTTTGTTGTTGTTTGCGACGGTTATATACCGTCGTGAATTTGACTTTATTTTTTGTTTTTGTTGTTGTTTGCGACGGTTATATACCGTCGTGAATTTGACTTTATTTTTTGTTGTTGTTGTTTGCGACGGTTATATACCGTCGTGAATTTGACTTTAACCGTCGTAATCTGATTTATAAATTTCAAATAATATTTTTATTTAAATTATTATTTAGTAAAATAATTTTAAATATAATATTATTTTACTATTATATTTAAATTATTATTTACTTTAATATTTTTTTATTTATAGTATTTTTATTTTATTTTCTATCACTTTTCAACATTGTTTTGAAATGAGCAATCCAATTGTTTTGAAATATTTACTAACTCAGTATTATTAATTCAGTTGGGAAACCATTTGTAAAATAATGCAAGGAGACATTGCTTTTGCTATTGAAGCGTGAGATTTCCGTGAGATACCAGTACTTATTATTGGGAGAAAAGATTTATGAATTATTGCACATTGTAATATGCTTATACCACCTTATAACTTTGCTACAAGTTACCTATAACAAGTGAGATTTTCCGATTTTCAGGAACTATAACAAAAAGAGGTTAGCTCCGAAATCTCTTGATCATTTTGCAATCTTTGCAGCCATTTCTCTGACCAACTTAGCAGCTACCATAGCAGTCATTCCATCAACAGTATCGCGTTGTGGGTTGAGTTCAACGACGTCTCCAGCAACAACATCACCTTGAAGATTGTGTAGGATGTTAAGAACATCGCGGAAAGAAAGACCTCCCGGTTCAATATGAGACACTCCCGGAGCAAATGCAGGATCAAGACAATCCACGTCTATCGAGATATACACCCCTTTCACACCTTCCCCTAGTTTCTGCACAAGGAAATCACCAAGGTTTAAAAAGAACATACAAATGCACAAGTTAGTATCAATACATGCACACTCGGCATCAAGGGCACTTGTAGCTTCATCAAGAAGTAATATTTTTGGATCTTTCAAAATTGCTCTTCCAATTGACATCAGAAGTTCTTCCAGCTGTTAAGGATCCAACTAATGCACATACATTTAAGATTCCTGCTAGAATTTCTTGTTGTGTGTCCTGCTAGAATTTCTTGTTGTGTGTCATTGATATAGTTAATGTCATACAAAAATCCGTCAAGTCAAGTCACCTGTTCTTCATGCTGAATATAAGGCACCAAATATAATTGTGTTGCACTTCCATATTCAAGGCAAAATTCCTCGTTTGTTTGAATACCACACTCTGCAGAACTGGCAACGTAAGGTTTGTCCAGGGCAAGCATGCATCCTACTCTGTAACCCACCAAAATGGTGAATGTTACCACACATATAAGAAAAGAATTACTCATCTTCATAAGTTTGACAATGTGAGAATTACCTGAAAAGATTGGCAAGGAGAACTTGCTCGCTCCATAAGAAGAAATTTAATGCAACACCATCACCATCAACAAGAGTAATTTGTTTTCTTTGCGAGGTCCCAAAATTCCCTCGAATTTCCGCAGATTCAATATTTTCAATCCTGTAATCAATAAAAAAACTAGTGAGGGCATGCTTCCTTGTAAAAGGGAAAAATACCATTATTCAAGGTTATGGATCATGTTGACAAATGCATATATAGAGGAACATAGACGAACTAGTAAATGATTTAAACCTCATAGTTACACTTAGGTATCTTTATAAACAGCAAAATGGTGCCTGAAATAATTTTAATGACACAACTCTCAGTAAATTTACAACATGCTCAACAACAAACTTATGCAGCAAACAGAACATCCATTGCAAATAGTTTACCTGGCATAAAGTGAATAAGAAGCCCCATTGTTTACTGCCTCCAGCGAAATTGAAGAGAAGGAGTCTGAACAAAACTGAGCTCCTAGCAGCATTGCATCATCATCCTGATTCTACAATTTTAAAGAAAACAACAGGCTTTTCTTTAGTTGTATTGTGCAGTAAAAGTTAGTTTCCAGAAGCACGGGCTAGGCTCTGAACTTGAACTACTAGCATATGAAACGCTCAAATTTTAAGACCAAAATACAACTAAAGAAAATGATAGTTACCTCGTCTAATAGAATCACGAGATACTCTGTTGGCAAAAGACGTGGATGACCAGAACTTTCTGCGGTAGTTCGGAGGTAGCAGCCTGTGAGGAGAACCTCCCTCCCTTTCTTCAGAATTCCACTTGGCAGGCCTGCCAAGTCATAGAATCTGCTAGACAGAACATGATACGTCTAATTTTGAATAATATTGCCAATAAATAAGACTGCAGAAACTATTGATTTAAAATCATATGTTACACTAATGATTCAATACATGTATTTGGAGTTTTTTTTAAAAATACATGCATTTTATTGATATCGACGACCAATGACATCAGAAGTTCTTCCAGCTGTTAAGGATCCAACTAATGCACATACATTTAAGATTCCTGCTAGAATTTCTTGTTGTGTGTCACTGATTCCCAAATCCTCTTTTATGAAAATCATTGCTCCACTCATAACACCGGTATCTGAAATTAATCATCAATGTAGAATAGTTATTATAAAAAAATGACTCGATATAAATGATTGAATAATACATACATGACTACTAAATTCACGAATAGTCAATTAGTAGTCACACACCTTACATTTTACATAAAATATAATAAGATATATTAGAAAACCTCTCTTCAATTTTGTTGGATAGGGAAATGAAATTAAAAAAAAAGTGAAAAAGATTAGAGAATGTGATAATATTACCATAGCCAGAGACAATGGAAACCATTGAAGCAACAAGGGCACAAGCCAAAGCATATTTGTTCAATGATGTGTTTTGAACTTCTTTGTCACCTTGATCAATTATCATGATGATGATGATATTGTTAATGGTTTTCGGCAGTTTCCTCCGCGGCTCATAATGAATCGACAACGCATCTTCTTCGACGCTTCACCATGAAGAGTAACAATCCGCATCCTAAACCTTTATGCGTCATCGATCGTTTTCATCAACTGCAAACAGAAACAGAATCGACCGGATTCCGCGGAACTCATAAAAGAAGATATGGAAAAACAAGTAAGAAAGAAGAAGTAACGATACCTTTGAATCTTTCGTCGCCGAGAATCATCTTTACAACCGTCTTTGAATCCGTTGAGATCGGTTGTCTAACACTCTTCTTCCCATCCGTTCATGGTGTCGAGATGCAATTCTTGCTTCGCTGGGGTTTGCGTTTGAGCGTAGATAAAAGGAATGAAATGTCTGCTTAGATGAAAAGGGATGAAGCCCCGGGAATCGCCTGCTGAAACTCCTTCTCTGCCATTTAATTGCGTCTTGAAGCTCCTAAGGTTTATCAACAGAATAATTCAATCAGCTACGTATTATTCCAAACCCAATTGAAACTCCATGACATAAGGTGTGTTTAAGTCCCTTACCACTCTGAACAACCACATATTGGCAAAATCCAAGGCCTTTTGTTGTTTTTCATATGATAATACACTCTAATGAGCTAACGAGTAAAGTTCATAACAAAATTTTCATTTAAATCATTAAAAGCAGTAATGCGTTCCTTTTACCTGCAAAAGGATGACACAGTTAAGCTTTCACATAGTGTGATGCTTTGCCTGGTTGGAATCACACCCATGTTGTAACTGTCATATTAAATAAAAGAGTGAGTTAATGAAACAGATATGTGTAAACTGTAACTGACTCAACATTTATGTTTTCCTTCTTTGTTTCAAACTAATACCAACTACCAAGAGTGAAGAAACAAAAGGAGTAGTCACTAAAATAGGACAATCATCGCACTCGAAATGGTAGGTCTAACTCATACTTCTCGGCACTAAGCTACATCCATGTAGTTATGAACTATCCTGGACAAACATTTAAGCTATCTAACAGTCATGAACTCATGGTCATCGTGATGAGAGAACCAAAGGGCTATGAAGCACGGAAACTGTTTCAATTATGTCTAACAAAACCATATAAGCCACAAAACTTTGGGTCCACTAGAAAAAAATGGCTAAATCACAAAATCACTAAAATCCAACGCAATGAATTAAACAACTTAGAATTCAAAACCAAAATCACCATATTCAGAAAAAATGAAAAACAACAATCAAATCATGAAGAACATTACAATCGAATCATAAAAATAAAAAAACAATTGAAAAAATGAATGCTTCGCACCTTATGAAACGAAAGGTTACCGGCAAAATTACTGGCGAGAGTCTTGACTCTATCGATGGACTTACCAGAAAAATTATCGAGGTTATCAACAACAATGACTTTGTAACCGGCAAGAAGAAGCTGGAGAACGGTGTGGGTGACGATATAACTGGCACCGCCGGTAACAAGAATGGTTTTGTTAGACAAAGGGCCATTGCAATCAGGCCACCTATTTTTAGAGGTGCCGGCTACAAAGCCAGAGGGCCATTGCAATCAGACCACCTATTTTTATTACATTTTATCCGATTACCCGTAGTTGCTGCTTATACTTACATAGAACCACCCCACAATTTAAATACATTACTTGCAACTAATCTTGTAATTGAATTTAAGAAAACCAAAGCTCATAGTATATGCACCAATCCAATCCAGTTCAAACAATAATATCATATACTATCTTTTAAACATGTAACTTCAAAAAGTGAACTTACAGTTTTTCCAAAAGGTTATCAGTCATGTTAACTCGAAAGGAATCCTTGGCGTCGATCTGTTTCACTGCGCTCACCAACTTCTGAATCATCCGTGTTAAACTTGCATACCTGTTCATATTTCCACAATCAGCTAAAAACCAAATCAAAACAAAGAAAATTACCAAATGCCAGAACAATCATGATAATACTTTTTATAATCGTCGCGTTGAGTAATATGGTAGCGCTGCATAACCATATTCTCTCTGTGACCCTCTTCTCTCTTCCATTCCAAAAAATTCACCCTCCTCAAAAGCTTATTCTCATGATACTTTAGCTTCCTCATTGTTATTCACTGTCAAAACAAAGGCAATTTCACAAAAACTAAGTTTTTTTCGGAAAAGCGTAAGGTTAAACGAAAAGGAAGAACTGAAACTTTGAGATTAGAATAGAGCTTGGAAGTGATTGAAATGGAAGAAGAGAATGAGAAAGAGAACGTACCTTAGAGGGATGACGTTGGCGGAACGAGGATTGATGAAAACCAAAGGCAGATTTGGAAGCGTGGCATCAAGACAAAGAGGACAAAGGGATAATTTCGAAGAATGGAAGCTTCACCATTCTAGGCGCAACATCGTACTTCCGGCGGTGGTTCTTTGCTTCAATCGGATAAAAAGCTCTTTCACAAAACCTAATCCTTTCAATTTTGTTTGTTACTCCTATTTTGTTTTTTTATATTTTTATTTGTTGTATTTTGTTTATAATTTAATAATAAATATTAGTTGCTGAAAATATTATGATATTGTGTTGATATTATGATATTGTGTTGCTGAAAAAAAGTGGGAAAGTAAAAGAATAAAAAAAAGTAGCGATATTGTGTTGATAATCTAAGATCTTTTTTAGTACTAGACATTAGATAATATATTTTAGGGTTCATAATTTGTAAATCTAAATTTTAATTTCATGTTATATTTGAATGTGTTAATGATGGATATAAAATCAAATTTATATAAATCTCAAAAAAAAATTGTTTTACCGCGACGGGTGTTTTACCGTCGTGCCCATGAGAATTTTTAAAGGTTTTGGGTGCGACGGTTGTTTTACCGTCGTGAAATGAATTTTAGGACGGATAATTTTACCGTCGTGAAAGATTTAAGGGTGCGACGGGTGCTTTACCGTCGTGATATGCCTTTTAGGACGGTTAATTTTACCGTCGTGACTAGTTGTTGGTGAAAAATCAATGTTAAAAGTGTTAAATGGGGGCCGACGGTTGTTTTACCGTCGTAATAATAATATTATGATGGTTAAATATACCGTCGCAAAATAAATATTAGGGACGGTTGGTGTCAACTGTCGTAAACACTGTCGCTATATGTCAATTACGACAGTTATCACATAACTGTCGCAATTTTTGTGTCGTTAAACACTAATTTTCTTGTAGTGTTACTTTTGAGCATATCCCAAGAGAAGAGAATCAATTGGCCAACGCATTAGCTACCATGTCATCCATGTTCAAGGTCAGATGGGACAATGAGGCTCCCAGAATTACCATTGAAAGATTCGATGAACCAGCACATTGCTACGAAATTGATATTGATGGAGTAGAAGAAAACCTTGGTTTCATGAAGTGAAAAGGTACCTTGAAGCTCAAGAATACCCTGAAGTGGTATCGATCAATGACAAGAAATTCCTACAGAGGTTCTCAACTAAGTTATTCTTAAGCAATGAAATTTTATATAAGCGTAATCATGATTCAACTCTGCTTCGCTGTGTAGACAAGAAGGAAGTAGAGAAAATTATGGAGGATATGCACGAAGGCATCTTTGGTACTCACTCCAGCGGGCATACTATGGCTAAGAAGATTTTGAGAGTAGGTTATTATTGGTCAACTATAGAAACCGACTGTCATCACCACTCGAGAACTTGTCAGAAGTGCCAGATCTATGCTGATAAAGTTCATGTGCCTCCAGTTCCTTTGAATATTTTGACTGCTCCTTGGCCATTCGCAATGTAGGGCATTGATATGATCGGAGAAATCAATCCTACTGCTCCTAATAGACATCTCTTCATTCTTGTCGCCATTGACTACTTTAAAAAATGGGTTAAAGAAACCTCGTTCGCCTCTGTTACTAAGAATGTGGTCGCCCGATTAATAAAACATAACCTTATCTGTCGGTATGGCATCCTCGAGAGAATCATCACCGACAATGGTACTAACCTCAACAATATTATGATCATTGAACTCTGCATGCAGTTCAAGATCAAGCACCACAACTCTTCTCCGTATCGACCAAAGATGAATGGTTCCATAAAAGCCGCCAACAAGAATTTTAAGAAGATTATACATAAGAGGTTGTGACTTGCAAAGACTGACACGAGATGTTACCATTTGCTCTGCATGGCTAACGCACTTCAGCGCAAACATCAACTAGGGAAAGCCCATTCTCTATGGTCTATGGTATGGAAGTTGTCCTACATGTCGAAGTTCAGACTCCTTCTCTGAGGATTATGAAAGATGCAGGCTTAGACGAAGACGGGTGGATTCAGACCAGGCTACACCAGTTGAATCTGATTGATGAAAAGAGGCTTGCGGTTGTTTTTCACGGTCAGATGTATCAAAAATGTATGATCAAGGCATTCAACAATAAAATCAAGCATCGGGTATATCAGGCTGGTGACTTGGTAATAAAGCGCATCATTCTATCGTAAGGTGATCCCAGGGGGAAACAGACTCCCACCTACGAAGGGCCATTTATTGTCAAGAAGATATTTTTGGGCGATGCTATGATACTAACCACCATAGACGGTGAAGATTTCTCGCACCCTGTGAACGTGGACATAGCAAAAAGATACTACGTATGAAAATGACCCGCTAGGTTGACTGGCCCAGGAAAAAATAAGGGCATCCCGGCAAACCAAAAAGGTTCAGGCAAAAATTAGGGATATATATAAAATATTGTACACCCCTTAAGTCGAAAACCTGAAAAGGCGGCTTGGGCAAAAAAGGGTATCCTGGTGGACTGAAAACCCGAAAGGGAGGTCCATGCAAAAGTTAAGGATTAAAAGCGTACGAATATGTCCCATTGGATCACTTACTGCGAGCTTTATTACCAAAGTCAAAAGTTCAAATGGTATAGATCAGTTTAATCAACTTCTCCCGACAGTAATGGATGAGATGTTCGAAGACATAGGGGAAATAGTGGAGTTGGAATCCAACGAGATCATTTTCACATAGCTATATGTTTTGTTTTCACTTTGTACTCTTTTCATTTCATGACGATTTCCTCTTACTAGGATTTTTGTCTCTTTGTACAAAACCGCCTGTTATTGGGCAGACTATCAATACAAATACACCATAAAATTCAAACTTTTTGTTTTTTCGGTTTTGATTGCAAAAATGTCCAATGACTAAAATTAAATGAACATATGCATATGAACATGATTAACTGTTAAAAAATATATACATAATAACATGAATAAGCATTTACTCAAAACTCTAGGAGTTGGGATAACGTCCAAGCCGTCCACAAATCCCCACATAGCCACTTCCATAAGATTATCCCCATAGAGTAATCTTCACAAATTCATCTCCAATGAAGATACATTCCCCGGTAGATCGCTCTAAAAGATAAAAGAATATGATTTTTTCCCAGCAATATCACCCACCTACGGAGTCCCAATCAGTACAGTTCATGGGATTTCTCTTCCCCAACTGAGTTGATTCCTCTAAAACTGTAAAACCCCCTATAAATTTCTTCTCTCTAGCAGAACTCGTTTCCTCAACAAGGGTGTTTCCTCAGCAGAGAATTTCTCCGTCAACAGGGTTTGTTTCCCCAACAGGATTTATTTCCCCAATAGATTACATCCTCCCCAGCTTAAGTTTATTCCTTGGATGGCTATGAAGCACCGGTAAGATTCCTCTCCACAGTAAAGTCGCCACTATCCTCATTGAGTTTCTCTGAAACCTGGAACCAGATCAGATATCAGTCAACTTTATCCTCCCCATACGAGTCAGAAGGTTATCCATCTCTTTTATCCCCAGTCGGGGTATATAAGAATTAAAATCCCCAGACGAGTTGGAAGGTTATCCATATATTTTATCCCCAGTCAGGGTATATAAGAATTAAACTCCCCAGTAGAGCAATGAACGACCAATGTTCCTGAACTCTTATCCCCAAACAGAAGTCAACATTCCCCGAAGGAGTTTTCTCAAACAGCAAGCACAAATCCCCAACGGAAGCATTCCAGGAAAATTTTATGATTACATTGTTCTTTATCCCCAACACCAATAAGGGATTCATTTTCCCAGCAAGATGTCATATGGAACTGTTGATACATTTCCAACAACATCTCACGTTCATACATCATTTACCAATATCATAACATATGCATACGAAACGCATATAGTACAGTCTCATTTATTTTGAGAAAATCATTACGCAATGCATTCCATACATCATGACATTGCATACAGCTAACCCTTTACCTTTTCAGGAAAGATCAATCAATAGACAAACATCATCAACTACTTATATGATCCGACAGTCTTCTCCAAGGCTACATCTTACAAAGGGTCATTTCAGCAATTTCCTCAGAGGATCATTTTCAAAAAAAGACATCTTCTGGCTTAGATTAAATCGACCATAGATTTATTTTGATACTTCGTCCAATAGAAATTTTTCTGGCTCAAATTAAATCAATCGTAGATTTACTCTGATACTTCTTCCAGTAGACTTTCTCTAGCTTAGATTAAATCAATCATAGATTTATTCTGATACTTCTTCCAATTAAAGACAAAAAGACCTATTTTGGATCAGATTAAATCAAATGTAGATTTATTCTGATACTTCTTCCAATTAAAAATAGATGTAGACATCTCTGGCTCAGATTAAATCAATCATATATTTATTCTGATACTGCTTCCAGTTAAAGATAATCGTAGACATCTTCTGGCTCAGATTAAATTAAGCGTAGATTTATTCTGATACTTCTTCCAGTAGACATTTTCAGGCTCAGATTAAATCGACCGTAGATTTATTCTGATACTTCTTCCAGTTAAATACAAAAGACCTCTTCTGGATCAGATTAAATCAACCATGGACTTATTCTGATACTTCTTCCAGTTAAAGATAGGCGTAGGCATCCTCTGGCTCAGATTAAGTCGAGTGTAGATTTTTTCTGATACTTCTTCCAGTCGAAGTCAAGCGTAGACTTAGTCTAATTTCTATCAAACAGTTACTTTGGATGGCATCTATAAGTCCATCTTCGACAAATCTCCACCACCTCTCCAAATGGAATCTTTAATCCCATTTCCGGTATAATCAACCAACAGTGTTACTTCGTGCACAAGAGAGTGCAAATTTCTGGGCACTTAAGTGTTCAACAATCTTCTACCTTCAAGTTACGAATGGCAGACATGCCAATCTAACTCTTCAGGTTTAAGAAGATTGAACAGGGGCAGTTTTTGTACCCTAATATTTTCCCTCCCATTTTCTTTAAAAAAACATGCTCACTAAAGTCTCAAATACTCAAAGCCAGTCAAGAGTGGACTGGTCAAACCTTCTTCTCAACTAGGGTTTGGTGCTTCTCAAAGAAGATTGGGTTGCAAGGGTCTCAAATGAATTTCATGGTTCATCATAGGTCCTCAATAATTCTTATGTCAAGTTTCAAGTCTTTCCTCACATAGGGATTGATGAATTATACAACTTTGTTAACTAAGGTGGATCTCCAAAAAGTTCTTAGTTTAAGATATATGAGCCCATGAAGTTGTGATATTTTTTATCCAACAC